ATCTTCAACTAGGGCTGTAGTCTTCTGAACACCGAAGTGTCCTACTAATCCTCCAACATGCAATTCCCAAACAAGAAAATCGCATAGTGACGTGCGGGGAATGCACAATCTTGACCCACGGAACAGGTAGCCATCATCAATAAGGAAATCCACATGATCATGGCGGTTGCCATCTTTAACCTCGTTATAAATGATACCAAAGTCAAGACACGAGCTGTACTCATCCTTGAGCCTGTCAAAGCCCACGACACTAACCGTCAGAGTGTTGAGAACATGGATTCTTCGGCTAAGAGCGTCAGCTACTTTGTTCTCTACCCCTGGGCGGTGCTTGACCACGAAGGTAAATTCCTGAATGAATTCGCTCCACTTGGCATGTTTGGCATTCAAATGCCATTGGGAGCTAAGGAACTTGAGAGACTGGTGGTCTGAGTAGATGACAAACTGTTGGGGAAGGAGGTAGTACTTCTAATGCTCCAAAGAGCGAACAATGGCATAGAACTCTTTGTCATACGTGGAGTACTTTTACTTGGCCTCATTGAGCTTCTCACTGAAGTAGGCGACAGGGTGGCCTTCTTGGCTGAGAACGCCTCAAATCCCAACCCTGGATGCGTCGTAAGCAACTTCAAAGAACTTGTTGAAATCAGGTAAAGCCAGGATGGGAGCACTTGAGAGTTTCTTCTTAATAGTGCTGAAAGCTGTGGAGGCCGTGAGAGTCCAGTTGAACTTATCCTTCTTCAGGCAGTCAGTAATTGGAGACATAAGTGTGCTGAAGTCTTTGATGAAACGCCGATAGAAGGATGCAAGCCCATGGAAGCTACGTGCTTCCTGCAGTGTCTGCGGTTCTGGCCAATCTTGAATAGCTCAGACTTTTGTAGGGTTTGCAGATAAGCCTTGTTCCGAGACGATGAATCCAAGAAACGTAACTTGATTCTATAGGAAGGAGCACTTTGGTAGGTTGAGATAAAACTTCTCCTTTTGAAGGGTTAGAAGCATCTGTCTAAGGTAGTGCAAGTGGTCGTCTCTGGACTTACTAAAAACCAGAATGTCATCAAAGTAGACAACCATGAACTTTCCTAGATAAGACTACAGCATATGCGTCATTACTCGCATGAATGTGCTCGGGGCGTTTGTTAAGCCAAATGGCATAACGAGCCACTCGTACAGTTCATCTTGCATTTTAAATGTAGTTTTCCACTCATCTCCTGGTCTGATTTGAATATGATGGTAACCACTGCGAAGATCAAGCTTGGAGAACCATTTAGATCCAGACACTAAATCAAGCATGTCCTCTAACCTAGGGATCGGGAACCTGTACTTGATAGTTATCTTGTTGATGGCTCAACTATCAACACACATTCTCCACGAGCCGTCTTTCTTCAGAGTCAGAAGGGCAGGGAAAACACAAGGACTGAGGCTATGCTGGATATAACCCTTCTCAAGTAAGCCATTAACTTGACGATTGAGCTCTTCCCGATCTTTAGGGTTCATCCTGTAGTGTGGAAGGTTGGGGAGTTGTGATCCTGGAACCAAATCGATCGCATGCTGGATGTTCCTCATGGGTGCCAAGTTAGGAGGTAACTCCTTAGGTGCAACATCTTTAAACTCGTCCAAGAGTTGGGTCACTTATTTTGGAACGATGTTAGGTGTTGGTGCAGGAGGAGAGAGGACTTTGGAAACAACGATAAGGATGACATCAACCTCTCTACTTTCTTCGATGAACTGCTTCTCTGTAAGGAGGTGAAGGTTGATAGGCTTAGAGGTGGATCCTTTGGTGGGGGCTAGACCCTTTGCTTTAGGCTTAGACTTCGCAGGATGAAGTAAGATGATCTTGCCCTCATGCTCGAAGATGTGGTTATTTGCTCGGCCCTGGATAGTAACATTATGGTCATATAGCCACGGGCGTCCTACAAGAATGTGAGACACATCTATAGGGATCACGACACACAAAACATCTTCTTTGTAGTCGCCCAAATGGAGTGGGACATGACACTGCTGAGTGATAAGCAATGAAGTATTGTCGACCCACACAACTTTGAAAGGCTTAGCAATTTGCTCTGTCTTAAGTCCAAGACAAGCAACACCTCGACTAGAGATCACGTTCCTTTCACTTCCATTATCAATAACCAACTTGCATTACTTATCACCACACTTTATGAAGGTGTGGAAGATGCTGTTCTGTTTCCATGAGTCATCTGGCGTTGGGACAGTCAGGAGGCATCGCATCACTCCAAGATGACCTGATGGCATGTCATCACAATTAATTTCTTCGTCCACATCAGAAGGAATATCGACAGGTTCGATGACGACATCTGGCTCGCTCTCGAGTAGTACATCATCTTGAGATTCGATAAGCAACGCACGTTGCGAGCACTTTGAAGAGATGTGTCCCTTAGAGTGACACTTGAAACACTCTATCAATGAGCTACCTGTGCGAGCGTTCGAGGTTGATGACTCTCTTGGTCTAGAAGTGCTTGGCCCTGAAAGTTGTTGACTTACCCGTTGATTGGCCGAAACAGCGGAGCTGCGTGTTGGACAAGACTCTAATCCAGAGAAGCTGGGACGCCTGAAAGAGGGATACTTAGGCAGGGAGTCAATGTCGATAGCCTTATGATATGCTTCCTCTAAAGTGTAAGGACGGTTTACCTTGAGCTCCTTCTGTATGTCATCCCTAAGGCCGCTGATGAACCTCTCAATAACCACAAAACTAGGCTCATTTAAGTCATTGCGGATCAGAAGGTCATCGTATCGAGAGACGTAGTCGGCTGTCGATTGGTGGTTCCCTGCTTAAGGTTGTTCAATTGGTTGAAAAGCGTGCTTAAGTGACTGACCAGCACGTACTTTTCTTTAAGCTTCAACTTCATCTCCTCCCAAGTAGTGACAGGAGGTTGCCCTAAGCGTTTAAGGTTCGCTTGGACGTACTACCAATACTTCCTTGCAGATCCTAAGAGCTTCATCTTGGTAAAACGAACGAGCTGTATGTCACTCATATTGTACCACTTGAAGTAGTCGTCCATGGTGGCTAACCAATCGAGGAAGGCATTCGTGTCTAAACAACCATCAAAGTCAGGTGCCTCGACTTTAACCCTCTTCATCGCATCATCATTGTAATCTTGCCGAGGGGTGTCTCGGTATCGTCTGGGCGGCGACGGGTCTCGTCCATACCTAGGGCACGCGGCGTATACTCCATAGGCTCGTCGGTTCGCAACATGGGATTCATAGCGAGCCTCTATCCCTTGCTCATCCCATGGGTTGTCCTCTTCCTCGAACTGTGGGGGAAGGGTCTCAACGTGTAGCGGTTTAGTCTACGAGTTATGTAGACCTATAGACAGTTGGGAGCCTCTAGTGCGAGATGGTCCAACGGTGTCGGGCTTAAGGTGCGCTTGATTGATCTTAGGGACATTTCCAAGAATCCCTTCTGCACCCTTACTAAAGACCTGCCTATTAATCCTTAGGAGAGAATCCCTAATCTCCTATTGGGAGGTCCTAAGCTCTTGATTAACTATCTCAAGCTCCTGAGTAGTGGCTCTAAGCTCCTAACACTGGGAGTTATATTCTTGCTTAATCTCGGCCAAAGATTCCTTAAGGCATTTGGTAAGTTCATTCAGTTTTAGTTCAAAGGTCTGAAGTCTCTGGTCCATTTGGGATTGAAGGGAGCTAACACGAGGTTCTAAAGATTGAAGTGCTTGGTCTAAGGTGTCTTGTCTATTTTCAATATCACGAATAGTCATGCAATAAATAGACGAAAGCTAACAACAAATAATAAAGTAAGTAAAGAGCTACTAATAAAATGAAAATAAATTCTCTCTCTCTCTCTCGGCTTTTTTTTTAATAACAATAATATAAAACCAAATTAAACAAATGGAAATGCTAATAAAATATAATATCTACAGTAAATAATAATTAATAGAATGGCAAAAGCAAAATAGTAACCTCTAGTATGTCAAACTAGTCACAGTAAGTTAAAGAGAGGGTCAACTGCGCCTTACCAACATACTTAAAGAGACCAGAAAACTAAAAATTACCCCAAAGTGTCTAAAGGATTTTGTGGCCGAAGTGAAAATTTTGACAAAATCTGGGTCCAGAAGTGTAATTTCCTCGAACTAATTGGGCCGACTGCAAAATTTCAAAACCTGGGGTGAATGCGAAATTTTCTAGAAAATATGGGTCAGAATGTGTAATTTTCTCTAAAAACGGAATCTGGAACTGTAGAAGCATGGAGGCACGTGGATTTCACACGCAGAGACTGTGATGGCGCATGGAGGCGCGTGGAGGACTTCTGGCAGTGAAACTCAGGGAACAGGCCGCATTCCTCGAGGCGGACTTAATGGTGGTTGTTTCACGCTGATTGGATGCTGGACGAGTGAGATTTGGGCCTCCAAAGTGACGCCTACAGTGACGTTGAGCAGAGGGAGTTTGGCTGGATCGTGGAGGCTGTTTCCAGTGGTTTCTGGCTGTGAAACCTTGAGATCTGGACGGATTGTTGCCTACGGTGAGAATGGAAGTGGCGGCGTGGTGAACAGTCGTTTGAAAATAAGCGAACAATGGTGAAGGAGCGGCGGCTGTGGGTGGTTTTGCAACAAGGACGTGTTTGGGGATTGAAAAATGAGTTTGAAAAAGTAGAATAAAGCAATCAATCAGGCTCTGATACCAAAATTGATGTAGAACAAGAAAGGATTGGAAGGAATGAGAAGTTAGAGAAGAGGAAGAAGAAGAGAGGAGGAGCAGAGAAGCAGGGAGAACGGGAGAAAAACTGATCAATAAATTCCAAATGCCAAGTATGATTACAAACTGAAACCCTAAATTATAAATAAAAGAAAGAAATAAAATGAGGGGAGTGAGGAAGTGGGGTGAGTGGAGTAACCATCCACGATCTAAAATACAAAAATAATTAACAAAATAAACAATAATAAAAATAATTAATTAGTTAAATTAAATCTACATCAGTTAATTATTCGAATTTTGAATTCAATCAATTAAATTAGTTAATTTTGAACAATCGGTTAAAAAGTAATTGACGTTTAATAACAAATGTTCGAAGAATTGCTCTGAAGCTTTATGGGCTTGAAGCATCAAACATCCATATGAAGCTTCACTTACATGTGACTCTGTATTTCCTAATCTGGCGCAAAAACTTGGAGCAATATTGTTGGAGACGTAATGTTTAAACTTGTGAAATGACAAATGTAACGAAGAAGCGGGTTTGTGTTAGTCCTCCACCTTCCTAACTCCACTGTCCCGCTCTTTTCCATGACAACAAAATCAACAGCTAACATGAATTAGACCTTTTGAGTATAGGCTTCAGATGTTTGTCTTCCTCAAATGATACCATGCCTACAAGGGATGGATCATCCAGCATCATCCTAGCAACCAAGTAACCGGCAATGGACCAGGTTTGGCATTTACGTGCCTGCTTCCCTACGTATCTGCCGAGCTTTCCATCATAGTATTCTGGCCAGTTATCATTCAACAATTTGGTCTCAGCAGTCTCAAGGGCTCGCTTTGCAATATGGGGCCGTCCAATCTTGATGCTGGCCGCCGTGAGAAGCCATAAAAGAACTGAATGAAAACCCAACAATAATCACATTAATAATCCAAAGTGCCAAGGAGAATAGAAATACCGGTACAACTAATTATGACGAATTTCCGTGCAAATGGTAGCTAAGGGCAGAACAGTACCTGGCCAAGAACCCCCATTGTGGTAACTCCATCTGGTATTTTTGGGGTCACATCCCGTTATAATACGCCACTCATCGCTTTCTAAAGCTGGATAACAAACTTTTACTGGCATCTCCCCGATTAATTCCTGCCACCGTGATTCTATGAGGTCCATGATTGCAATGGATTGCTCATGAGTAGCTAGGGACGATAAAATTGCCATGCAATTACCCAGACAAAACCACCGGAAATCCATCCTAGCAGGACTGACATTTCCTATGAAGTAGCCACCGTGATCAGGCATGAAATCAAAAATCCAATCTGGAAGAGAATCAGGGATAACATTAAACTTGTTTACTGCAGTATGTGAGTATTCCTCTGTTTTGTAGCGATATATATCATTTAGCTGCTTCAAATCCAACCAATAGTAGCTTCTCAAATGATAGGTTAAGGCATTTAACCGTGTGACAATTCTTCCCACAAAATCCTTTCCCTCGTCATCTTGCTTAAGCAATTGCAAGGCACATCTTAAAGCCATGAAGAAAAGTGCTTGAATCTCAATGGGATACCCATAAACACCCTGAAACAGCGCATCATCAATTAAAAGTAGGACAGAGTGAAAATAAACACTAGAAACGAATGAAAGAGTACCTAAAAGAAATATCCCCTTTCAAGATAACCATATAATATCGGTCTGATGCATATTCTATGGACTCTTGATTCAGTTGATGTCACAGTCGGCATACAAACGATTTCTTCTTTCCATATAATGGTAGAAAAAACTAAGAAAAATCATCTCATCCTACAATTGATGAAAGCCTTAGTTTCCATTTCGACTATGAGGTATCATAAATTTCTACGAACTCACCATTCTACGATCAATCATACAGCATCCATCAGCACATAAAAGAGTTGGGAACGTGTCAAACCCCTCTGAAAGGCATAAACTGAGAATCAGTCGCATGCCCTTCTGACATTCTGGGAGTTCAGCCAAGGATGTGTCTCCGGTAGATTTTGTATATGCACGAAGCAGTATGATCCACCAAAATCCTGAATCTACTGGAGCAACCCTTCCTATTGCACTTTCACCAAAATCTGCTATCAAGGTCTCAGCCCTTCGGACTGGTTCATGTTTTCGGACCGGTTCATGCAATACTTTGAAACTAGCAGGCATCACTCCTGCTCCTAGCTGGAATCTATCAACTCTTTTCTCCCACGACTGAAGGCGAAGAGTCTTCAAGATAAAGTTTTTAACAATGTCAGGTTCCCCCTTCATCAGAAAAGCCAGCGCACTTGGAACAAAGTCTCTTACAAACACCTACGGACACAAATAGTACCTTAGATAACATCTTCCATCACTGAAAATGGGCAGAATTGGTAAGAGCAATATACAGTAGTCCAACCCCTGTCCCGGTAAAACAAATAGAAGTAAAACACAATGACAAGAGGGAAACATGTAGAAAACTCATTTGTAAAAAATAAGCCAGCTTATTTGGTGTAAGAGTAAATTTAGAATTAGAAGTATCGCTTATTGTGTAACCAAAAGCTCCAAGTGTTTGATGGCTATACACCGGAGGTCCATGTCATAAATAACTTCGAGGAAAAAGGAAATGAAGACAAACTGGCTATTTTAGGTACAAAACAACCAGTGATGTATCTTACAATCATTATTCATCCCCAGTGTTGTTAGTATGATACAGAGAGTTTATTAGATTTTGTAAACTCATCCCCTCTCCCCAGATGAACATTCAGATACATTTATGAAATGACAAGGTCCTGGCACCTGATTATAATTTAGATTCTCTTTTGAATTATCCAAGGCAGCGATTGTCCCAACCGGTTGACCACGAAAATATACTAAGGAACGCTTCAGAGCCTCCCAACCTTCAACTATGATTGTATGTGGATCCGACGCCGGTGTTACTGGGGCATTAGTAACTGATCCATTCAGTGGAGACAGTGCATTGTCAAGATTGTCCACCGGGCGATGAGTGTTCTCTATTCTTAGTTCACATGATCTCTGTCTGTCTATAATATTCACACCCGCCTTTCGCCTCCCTAACAGTTTTGAAATGTCACGATCCATGACTTCTGTGTCTTTATCTTGTGAATCTGTTTTTTCAAAACTTCCGCTGTGTGAACCATCCATGGAAAACGGCTGATACTACCCACAATTTTAATGCTTAAAAAGAGTATGGCACTTGTAGTAGTACTGCTCAAAATTCTGCAATCAAGCTTGGTAAGATTCAATGACCCAAAAACAGAGTTTCATAAGATTCATGACATAATTAACACAACATGATGCCCAAATTAATTAATTCTATGATTCGGAAACTTCATAGACCCAAGCAAAACCAGCCCAGACGTCTAACTTTTTGGTATAACATGTTAATCCATTCAGTTTGATGCATCATAAGTAAATCTCCGATATCGTATAAAGCCATATAATATATATATGTATAAATAAAATATTTTTCTCCATATAAATGGCAGCGACTTCGACTTTGTAAAGATTCAAAACGACTCCTGTTAAATATTACAAATAGCCGCCAAGAAAAGTGTTTAATTTGAAGATCCTACTTAATTGAAGCAGATCCTGCTCAGATTGTTAATTCAAGACAATAAACAACACAATGGTCCGTGCGTCCGGCATTCCAGATCACTGATTGAAGAAAAAGTAATGTTCTCCTTGTATTTTACATTCTTGCGGAACAAAGTCACTTCTTAACTGGAAAATATCCCCTGATATCTGAACTACTCTTTATTTGATTCTGCTTTAACATCAGAAGGAGAAGACGAAGAACGACCATTGATGAAATCAAGCCAAAATTAAAAATGTAGTCTCCAGTCAAAGCAGGAGTTGTTAGAAATTAAAATAAAAGAATGGAGTAATTGGCGGTAATAAATTATCATAACGCATAGTTGCGGACAATACTAGCATTATACAATTTATGGATCCCATTATCAACTAAATACTAACTGGAATGAGTTCATCATGTCAACCTTTCAGATTTTGCAGAGGAATAAACATAAGTAATGTTTGCATAAAAGCCACTGGTGCTTGATCTGTCACAAAACCGCGCGGCTTGAGAGAACAAGTGACACGGATACATATTCTTAAAGTATCGATCCATTTCACTAGAATCTTTGTTTTGCCCGTTGGAACAAATGCATAAATTATTAGGTGAAAGGGCATTGTACAACCATGTAATAATAACAAAACAGACATGTGATTATGATTGTACAAATATCGCCGCGAGACAAGACATATACACCACCATTTCTTCGTAGCTGGTGAATTTAGTTTCCAGATTCCAAAGTAGGTTAACTCAATACAACAGAATTTCCATTGGTAACGCAACCTATTAGAGGATTCGGGAAGAAAGAAAGAAATGAAAAAGAGAGCGGGAGAGAGACGGGGAGATAGAGAGAATATTACAAACAATCAGAAGTTGTTCAAGATTAGCTAACACTTTATTCCAACCAAGCTCATGCCACGGATGAACGAACCAAAAGACTCCGCAATATTCATGCAATCATGTAAAGTGCAGGAATCCACAAACACAAACACAATGCACATATAATAGCTGAATATGCCATCAAAATACAGGAAAGAGCATTGTAATTCAAGATCAGAAAAAACTAACCGCGAAACTCGAGAACCAGCTAGAAGGAGGCACAGACAGAGAAGAAAACACGAGAATAAAATGCACTGTTCTCAGGAAGATTGAAGAGCTTGTAGGTGGTGAGAGCTTCCACAACAATGCATTAGCGAGTAGGGAAGAACGACCCCGTGAACGTCCTTGTCAAAGAAATAACAGAAAAGGGGGCTGTGAGCTTATGAACAACGGCCAGGAGGCAGCTTTTGGTTGAATTTGACGGTTTGGATTTGTTCGGGCGGGCAGATATTTTGGTAACACACACACACACTCTTGAGGTGTGACGGAGTGTGTGAGGGAGCGGGAAAAGAACTAGAATTCTAGAATGCGCGGTTCATTATGTTTTGTACAATTTTTGCCAAGTTTTATTTTCTGATAAATAAGATAGAAAATGCGCCGTTTACTTCATTTGCTGGGGAATTGAAGGGCCAAAACAGAGTGAAGGTACAGACATAGTGGAGGGACCGTAATGGCGCGGACTGCAGCGTAACGCGGTGCGTTTCAGACATGGGGGGAATAAGAATAACGTGTTTGCTAGCCGACGACGCAAAACGGCCAACACACTGTTCCTATTTGGCATGGTGTAGGGCCACTATAAGTACGGCTGGGCTGGCCATGTCAATTTACAATTTTACACCGAGTATTAATGACGTTGGGAGGAATAATACAGAAGGGAGAAAATATTAGAAAATAAAACTTTTAAAAATAGTTAAAAAAATTATTATTTGTGTAAATTTATCCTCCTATTATTCTTTCCTTCCTAATTTTATTCTCATCCAAACACGGTTAAGTTTTAGAAATTAACTTTTGTCATGGCACATTAAAATGATCAATTATAGTGTTTTCTTCAAAGTTGGTAATAGCGGTACTATAAATATAAAAATCTAAAAAATTATTGCAACATTTTCAAAACATTCAGAAGTATAAATGATAAATTATTTATATGATTTGTTAACAAAAATAAAATTGTAAATATTGAAAGCTGTATAAATTGTTTGATATGGTTTTCTAAAAACCGCGGCCTAAAATCTAAACATAACAGTTCATCACGCAATATATCACGAGATTCTTGAATCAACTGTCCCGTGGGATCGATGGCCTCTCTACCTGCCTGGGACTGGAAGCCAATGAGGAATAGGCACATTACCACTCTAAATCTTTAATGGCAGTAGATTTTTTTTCCTTCTAAAAATTTAATTCAAATTCACTGTAGTTGATAAATGAACTATTTTTTCCTTTGTTGGAATAAATGAATTACTCCTCCAGCCCTAAATATAAGATTCACTTTACAGTATAAATTACAATATAAAATGAGTCTTATATTTAGGACTGAATGAGTATATTTTACAGTAATTGCAGTGCACAAAAGTATTAGAAATTAATAGCCCATTCAGTTGAATTTTATGAGAGGATAGATATTATCTGAAATACTGATGTAATTGATTGATTCAAATATTTGATTGGATTTGTATGGTATAAAGAGAATTGTATTTTGCCGTGCTGATTACCTTTAACCTAATACCCAATATGAAAGAAATGGAGTGAAGAAAAAAATTTTAATGACAATTTAAAACAATTTTAAAAATGAAGTTATAAGATTTTAATAAAGAAAAGGATTATATGCAACTGACTCAAAATTTAAAAGGAGTTTGGTATAATGCTGCCAGAAAAATCAGTGAGCTAAAACAGAGAATTTAATTGTAGTAGTATATAAGCAACACTGCTATATATGTTTATGTATAGATACCTACGCACAATTATTCGACTCACTGGTTCAGTCCTAGATGTATTGTACTGGTTATCATATAATACATGCGCATACACACTTTTAATTAATAAAAATTTCAAATTTTCATGGTGTGGACGAGGGTGATTTGTCTATTAATTTACTATTGTACAAAAAAGTACACAATTTTAATCCATTATATTTATACACTGACAGGAGTAACTTTGTCTCTTAATTTATCATTCCTATTTATTTTCATATTGGCTGTAATGTAACCAAACATTTTTATGTATATATAATTTCTTCTTAATTATGCAGTACTAAAATTTCCATTGCATTTTTTGGGATTCAGAGAACCAAACACGCTGTAAACGTATTGCATTCCATTGCGTTTCCATTCACTGAACCAAGCAGGCTGCAAATCATGAGGAATTGGAAACTAGATATTTCGGCCACAAAGGCCCGTCCCAACACTAACGGGCGCTCCAAGCTCCAGCTTTGGCTGAGCGGCCACCAGAGCCAATTCATTTTTTTTTTTGGGAAAAAGGATCAAATAACATTAAAAAGGAAAAAAAAAAAAGAGTATCCTTACAAGTTACGGGCACAGTACGTAAGTCGAATAAAAATAAGAAAATTTAGTTAATACAGAAGAATGCATAGGATGAACTATTATACTAGCTCCAATCCTAGTCATAAAAGTAAATTGACTAATTTAAAAAAAATTAAGAAAAGAAGTTAAGTTAGTTATTTGTTATAAATAGGTGTTGTTTTTCTTAAAATATCCTTACTAATCAAGTATATTGGCTATACCTACCATTACCATTGTTAAAAGGATTATCTTAGAAAAAATACACAAATATTAGAGACAAAGTGGATTGGGATCTTATATTTAAGACTAAAATAAAATTTAAACGAGGTCTTATATTAAGGATCGGAGGTAGTATTATATCTAGATAAAACTAATTCATGTTAGAAAACTATATTGATAAGTATAGTACTCTTCCGGTCTTTAATATAGGACCTAATTGTTGAGTTAATTTTGGTTCTAAATATAAGACTCAGTTTTCATATTTATCAATTTTCTCTAAATTATCTCTATGGATACTCCTACATCCATAATCAAGTAGAAGAGGAAGAATAGGTATTAAAAAAAATGATTATGGTATTTTAAAAAAATGTGTCATATTTATTATAATTAACTAACTTATTTAATTTTTTTAATCTAATCAAATTAGTTAAATAAATCTTATATTAAAGATACGGTAAATTTATGTGATTGGTTGATGGTGGTGGTAACAGGGGGGAATCGCCACTGGCGCCAAAAATAAAAAACTTTGTCGCAATCTCGGCGGGGAAAAAAAATATGCTGTTGGTGAATGCTACTGAACACTGGGAGGTAATCCCCGAACGGAAAAAAACATCCGAGTGAAAAAGAACTAGAGTGAGAAAATGGGTCCCGCCGTCAAGGGCTGCCCTGCTCCTTTTCTCCGCCTGTAGTTAAAGGCCCTGCTTCGCTCCTTCTGCTAAACCCTCTGGTTACGTAAATTAGCACTTGGCTTCCTTCCTCTTTTTTTTCCCCTTATAATTCATTCTCTCTTGCTTGTTAACTAATGTTAATGGCGGCTCCGGAAGCGAATGTCAACATGAAAGCTCAAAAGAAAACAAAGAAGCGAAAGCAAAGAAGCCCCGAGGAAACCGAAAGGCTTTCCAAAGCGCAGAGAATCGAACTGAGAACAGTGGAAGATGATACAAAATCAGAGCAGAGAGACTCCCAGTCCAACGAGTTTGAATTCTCCCCTCCATGGAAGAACCTTCAGTTGATTTTATGCATCCAAAACAAGCATCTTGATCTCCAGAGGTACTTTTTCCTCCTCCCCCCCTTCTGGTTATTACGCTCGATTAACTGATAGCGTAGCTGTTACTCTTTAAGAAGAGCACATTATGTTCATCTCTAATATTGAAGTGTCCTCTCGGAGACTGGCTATATAACTATCAGATATTTCTTTTGCATTACACAAGTTAGTTTCTTAGTACTCTTAGAACAAATGGCAAAACTTTCGTGAGTCATAACTCCGTCAACCCAGAAGGAAGACGTGCTATAGTGCTATCCAAGTTATTGAACACGTGCTAAAAAATGAACCAAAAGCCCGCAGAAATAACATTTCTTCCCGGTAAGATATGTAAGAGAGAGTGGTAAAGAGTCCCATGGGGGCAAAGGCCTTATATAGTTGTACATATCTTGTTTTGTCCAAATAAATTAATTTTTGAGTATATTTTATCTATTTTTTCCCATGCCTCTCGTGAGCCATCCAAAGGAACAATGAGATTTTGTATTGTCACTTTACCACAACAAGTTTGTGTTAATGCAGGAAGATCGAATTAGCTTTCAGTTTTGTGCAATCAAGAATTGAAGACGGTGATGGCACTGTTCAGGATCGTGAAACAATAAAACTGCCGAGACTATTATATCTCCTTAATGATTGGATACAGTCACTGTTGATTTCCTTAGATACAAAAAATTTGAGTGACGGAAAAAGATCTCAGGTGGGAGTTGAGGCATATATGGATCTTCGTTGTTGGGAGATATTCAGGTTCTGCTTGCAGGAGTCTTTGAAGTTTAATGTTTCTCTGAATATGTCTCGGCATCTCCTACGGCCTGTTCATTTTATTGTTCAAAATGCTCTATCACTGCTGGAGGGTTCCTCCATCTGCTCAGGAGAATCTTTTATATCTGGTGAAAGGTACAAATTATATGGTACTGCTCTTGATTGTGTTTCATTGGTATTCTCGTCCCATGGTGGGTTGTCAAATGAAAATTTGGAGTTATGGGTTACAACAACTTGTATACTCCTCGAGCTTGTCCAAAAAATGTATATCAAACACCTTGATAAGATCAATATGGGTGAATTTGCTATACATTTTCTGTGTTTGGTGCTTCAGCCATTCTCAAAGTTTTTGAGGGTTCATCCAGCTAGGAAAAATGGATTTTATAATTTTGTGGATAGACTTCTTGAGCCCCTGTTGCATTTGTTGGGTGAGTTGAAGCTTCAGGTAAATGGAAGCAATAGCCCTTGGACAGAGAAGTTGTTGAAGTTGGTGGAAGAAGTTCTTTCTTATGGATTGTTTCATCCAGTACACATTGATGGATTCTTTAGCTTACATGGTGTAGAGATGTATGTTGCTTCATGTGATGATAAATCAAAAGATTCAAGAGCAGTTATTATGAGTTATCATAGACATTTATTTGATGTATTGAGCAAAGTTATAGCAAGAAAAAACACAACAGCAATAAGTAGCATAGGTTTTTTATTTCACTTGTATGTCAATGCGGCAAGAAAGTTCAAGAGAACCTCAGTGCTGCACGAAGCAACTAAGAGAATGGAGAGTACAAGAGATACAAGGCAGCTAGAATCAGGGGAGAATAGCTCAAATAACATGTCTTCTGACACTCAAAAATCGCTCACTAATTTTTTGGTTCACATTATGGAGCCTTTGTTACTTGAGATTGATAAATATACTCAAGGTAAACTTGATGGCAAACTCATGTTGGCAGGGCCTCATGGTATACTAAAATCTATTAGTAACTTGCTTGCTAGTTTTATGCAAGAGAAGGTGTATGTGAGGACAGAGGACATGACTGGAGGAGCTTGTCTTAATTTCTTGAAGAAAATATATAATGTACTAATGTCATGTTCTGCCACTTTGCTATGCTTTTCCAACTATGATGTAAGTAACAGGATAGAAATGGAAAGGCTTACTTTATCAGTTAATGAGATCCTAGTTGCAATAGGGTATCTTTTGGAAATTGAATATGAGGTTATTGGAGAAGATTTGGTGAACTTATGGTTTACAATGTTATCATGCTTAGCAATCAGGGGGACTTTTATGGATGCCCTTGATCAATGTTCATTATCTTCCAGCATATCAGGCTTGGGGAGCCAAATAATCAATCTCTATAGTCAACTTCGCCAGGTTAGTTTCAAAACTCTGATTACTGCTCTATAACATGGCATTTTTTCCTTAGTATTGGTTATGCCCCCTTGTGGTTGTTTGTGAATCTCACTGCCATTTTGAACTCATGACCTATTATGTATGGCTGAATGCTCTCACCAACAAACCACAAACTCACCCCTTGGTGGTTTATAGTACTGAATTTGAATTCTAGGGCGTTGGTATGGAGGAAGTGGGGTTTGGTGAAGCCATTCCTGAATTATTATAATAATGAATTATTCTACCTTTTTCATGTTTTCCTTCCTTGGGGCCTACAATATTAAATTGCAATCTAGGGTGTTGGTAGGGGGGAAGAAAGTTTGGATGCAGCCATTCTTTAATTGTTATAATTATTGTTTCTTCTTCTTAAATGTTGTCATCTGTTGCCTTTTATTTCATTAGATGGATTTCAGGCATGTTCTTACACATGTTGAACTGATGTAGGTGGACATTGCTATTTTAGCATTGTGCAAAGCTATTAGACTTACCATACATGATGAGGCTAATAGTGAAGAAACTTCAAGGTTTTTGACGTCTGTATCTAATGAAGTTCATTCACAATCGGTGGACAGGCTACTATCTTCACAGGAGTTCACTAATGCCATTCATAAGGCTGTTCAATCAATTCCAGAAGGGAATGTGAGTGGTTGCATTCGACATTTAACAGATGATATATCTAAATCTCTTATGTGGTTAAGAGAATGTTCTTCATTTGTTGTTGGTGAAAAATTTAATAAACGACATGTACAACGCACCAGGGAAGTTTTTAATCTGCGAATGGTGATTCTTGGTAGAGGTTTGTCTAGGCTGTATTCATTAGTTCTCGAATCACTCACTATCACTGAGGGAAACAGTAACCTGATTGGAGGTTCTATAAGAGAACTAATAGAGCTAATGCGTCCTTACTTGAGTACTCTAGTACGACAACAATCAAATACCATATGCAACTTCCTTTCAAATGTCATGGGAAATACTGTTGATCAGGTGGCTGGAAAGAGAAAAATTCTGAAGAAATTTGGTAGTTCCAGTCAATGGGTCATTCTGTTCTTTTTTCAGTTGCTTGTGTTGTGCCGAAGCTTACATAGGCAAGCAATCAGCCTTATGCCTCCTGCTTTATCTAAGAAGATGTCTGCTGAAGTGGGGGACTTCATAGCATACTCTGCTCGTGAATTGATGGAGAGGATTGATGGGAGAGACATGGGATATTTTTCTTGGATTGTTCAACCTTCTGCTTCACTTCTTGCTGTTATGCAAAATATCTCTGACATCTATCTTGAGGATTGCTCACCTGACAGTTCTCCTTTACTGTACACATTACACTCTATGACTCTTCAGAGGCTTGTTGACTTGAACAGGCAGATTGTTTTGTTCAAGTATTTGCAAAATATTCATTATAATTCACGAATCGAGGCATTAGAAGAAGAGGCAGTTGGACTTACCAATTTTATGATGGAGAACCTATCATGTGTATATCAATCACCATTCTTCTGTTCTGATGAAGTAAATTGTGAAGATTTAACCTCCCAAGATCCTCATGAAACCAATGGATGGGATCTAGGAATATGTGTTGCATATGATGAGTCATTGCCAATGGCCATGTGGTCAAATCTTTGCAAAAATATTGATATTTGGGGCAATCATGCTTCCAAGAAGCAGTTAAAGAGGTTCTTGAGACCTGCTTCGTACTTTCCTTCACGGTGTTACAAACAGTTTCCAGGAGCTTGGCTCACTTGAGATTGATAAGGGTAGAAGGGTCAGAGGAGTGACTTTACCACAGATATCATCGGAACTTTTAAGCTCTTCAATTTGTATGAACAGAAAGTAAGATTTTTTTTTATTGTTCCTGGAGTTCTCTCTGTCTTACTCACACACACACACACATGCGCACACACTTTTCTATGCTCACTAGTCAACTACTAGGTAACTGCATATAGATATTCACCAATCTCTTAGTCAACTTTGGTCTTCCGCCATAAA